TTCAGGGAAATAATACTCTCAAAGTCAAATAAGTGGTTCTAGAGATCAGAGCATCTTATATTGTCCCACCTTATTCCTAGCTTTTTCCTAGTGTATTTCCCTTTCCATTTTTGTTAAAATTATGGAACGTTCATAATTTAAACATTTTTTCTGTTCTAGTAACAAAAAGGTTTTTCACTATTTTCGAAAAAGTCTGGAAAAGTGGCTACCTGAGTGTTTTTATTATGACTGTATTCCCTCTCCCTATTCATGAACCAACTCTAATAATTAAGTTTTGTAACCCCATAATTCTTTAAATCCTCAGTGTGTCTGAGGCTATTTTTCCATCGGTTTAACAAAGTCACATACATTATAAAAAAATTCAGTAATTATTCATTAATGCTAACTCTAGGAAAGTTAGTTTGCGCCATGTAGTGCTGCAACCATTGCGAATGGCTTGACATTGAGAAGACTTTGAATTGACAGACAATTGAAGGCAGGCGTTCAAATTTAGGAAAAGGAAAACAAAATAGCCATCATCAAAATTTTTTCGATCGCTCTAGTGGCTGCTTGCCCATCTCGTCATGGTCTTGAACTAATAGTTCAGTAAACCTGTCACTGACCTAGTCATGAGAAATTAAATCTAAGCTAATGTTCTAAGAATCAACTCAGCTAATAAAAACAAACAGTGTAACGGCTGTTTACCCACTTTTGGCTCTGAGTCCACAGGTGGGTAGTCTAAATTACAGGTAATTGTGCATTTGTCTCTACCCTTGAGCCCAAGATCGTTTAGTCAGAACAATAATATATTTCCTTCGGAATGTCATTTTCAGCAAACGCCAGTGCTATTTGCAACACATGTTCAAACCATTGCAGCTGTGACTTCTGAACCTGGGTAAACAGTGGCTTTACACAAAAGTTCTCTCAGATATTTGAACTTTGAACATGTCGAGACGTTTAAGGCCAGCGACTCGTCCCTGGCCTTTTTTTTCTCAACCGGACTTGGAACCGGCAACGGCGGTGTTTGCGTAGAAATATTATACAGCATATTTCAGACATTTGCAGATCCATTGTTTCAGCGTTATGGTACAAGCGAAATCAAAGCAAAAAATTTAAGCTATCTATTAATATACTTGTGACTACATACTTTGCCAAACTGTATACAGCGCACCACGTATTGTTCTGATTCAGTGGTTTTTGACTTAAGGCTAAGGCCGATCGTAACAGCGGTAACAATTGGCCGGTCCTTAAGGGATGCCTTTACCAAGTGTTGGTGCCCATGTTCTTCTGTCTCCTGCAGTTTGTCGCCACAAGCTTCCATGTCTATGTTGGCTCATCGTCCCATCTGAGCCGAGGTTTATCCAGTTGTGCGCTTGTTATCCACTTCAGTCGTTGCCGAAGTTTTTCAGATATCTGTCAGTCGTGCGATGTAGTCTATCGTAATCCAACTCGAGCTTCACGAATTAAATAGAAATCACTTTTATTTGTGCTTTCCACTCCATTTATCTTAGTAGATAGTTTTGGCTATTGTCCACGCTGTTATGCGACTTGAAGAGCACGTCCGTTTGCCCTTCACCGTGATTGAATGAAGATTAGGATGACGGGTTAATGGGGCTTGGTACGCTCTAAGTTTTTTCTTGTTCGCTCGGGTTCAGCTACATATTCTCCAGTAGTTTTTCCTCCATTTCATTGAGCGGTGCTTCCTCTCACGGGGTAGGGCGATCATAATATTTTTTTAGAATGCCAATGTTTTGGTCAATAATAATGCACAGTTATTGACTAGTTGCAAAATAAGCAATGAATCAATTGCCAGTTTAAACGACCCCCCCTTCCCAGAAGCAAGGGCTGTGCGCTGCTGGTAAATCTGGTATTATGAATTGAAATGATACAATTTTGAGCAGAAATGAAAAGCTAGCATTTGTTTAGTTACTTAAACATTTCAGGAACTCAGGCCTACGGTTAGTGGCAAGTTTAGTTTGTACTCGAACGCGCCTTTGTTCAGTTCAACCGGTAGATACTGTGTTGCGTCCAATGCTCTGCAGGTACACAAATATCATGGATCCGTGGCCTGATTAAATTATCCCCCTAGACGCCTAAAAGTTAGGAGGCGATGCACTTATGCCGATTAAATCGGTATTTTTAATTGCTTTGACAGGTTGTTCATTTTTTTTGTGATTGACTTTGGTGACATATTTTCAAGGTCATTTACCAGTGACTAATTCGTTTTATTCTGTTTCAGGGTTATTATGAAGCAGAAACTCGGAATTAGTGAAATTATTCAATATGAAGAACATAAGGATACTCAGCAGAAAAGTAGCTCCATGGTCAAGGCGAAGTTAAGACTTTAAGTCAGTCGAACGATTTCTGATGTTTCTATGCATTATTAGCAAGTTTTGAAAAATGAAGCATAACAGTGAAGTAAAATATTCGCTAACTGCTTATCTGTAACATTTATTTGGTTAGTAAATTGTTACATTTAGTTGGTTGAAAGTTGTTTCGAATGCATTGGTATGCAGCTTTGTATTTGCATATTTTCGTTTGTGTCTGAAACAGTTGATTCATAACATTGCTCTTCCAATTTGAGTTTGTAATTGGCATTGCTATCCTGACCGAAATGTTGGTTCTTACGAGTAAAGTTTTTATCAGAGCTTAAGCCAGTAATTGTTGTGAAGTTATGCGATATCGTCAGTGTCACTTTGTGGTCTTATTTTGAAAATTTGTCCTTTCGAAAGTTGAGTGATTCCAAGACTTGCAGATTTTGTCGTAGTATCGCCTGTTGCCGTTTCGCCAGAAACACTTGTAGCGCTTTAGCCATAAAGGAGGAAACAGTTGTCGCCCTTTGGTCCCTCCCCATTGAACTCTAGTCACGGATGAGACCGCAGAAGGTGTATGACACCATCGCATAATCCGGCAAGAGTGTATCGGTGCGGAAGCTGGCTAGTGATTTAATTGCTGAATGCTGCTGGTGATCAAATAGCTGAATCTACTGCCTCTGGCAGGATGTTTTTGATCAGTTAGCGATGTATCATGTGAGCGACTTCTTGAAGCTTTCAACTATGTCATCTTTCAGGCTCCAAGATGATGGGTCTACGGAGATATATCAAGAAATATTATTAGCGTGGTAAACGATACTTATGTTAAAAGGGCTGTTTATTTCGACTCTGCGGTCACCACAGTTCGGAGTGTGACAGTCATAGTATTAACACGTGATTTAAGTTGTTCATAAATGGCTTTTGCAGCGGGAAGATGAGCTGGGAGGTTGATGGTGGAGAAGCGGAAAGTTCGTTTTACTAAAGTGCCTTAGAAAGCCGACATTGACATTCACTGCAGGGACAATGGACGACTATCAAATGAAAGATCATATTCCAAGGCAAAGCTGCATATCATCTCTTACATTACCAAAAATCAGAAAAAATCTAAGTGCCAACTTCTAGAGCGCCATAATTGCTTTGGTTTTGTTATACTGTAAGCTAAAGAGGTTAAATGTCATAGCTATTGGCAAGAAAGAAACTCCGCCGTCAGTACTAGAAGTTCAAGCGGCCGTCATAGCAAAGACTTATATGGCTTGGTTTTTGAATCTAGCCTCTTTTGTTATGTATTTGTACATCGAAGCTCGCAAAACAAGTAAAAGCGGTGCAAGGGCAGTGGCTAGGAACCCTATCGGGCTGAAATGGAGTTCTGATTACCGGTGGGGCGGGGAGCAAAGGTTGCTGATAAACTATTCACTGTGTTCGCATTAGACGATCAGATGCCGCCATCTATGCAGAATTCGAAGTAGAAACAGGATGGTGAAATTATTTAATGCGAAGGACGTAGTCCTCAAAAAATGACACCCTACTGAGCCACGAGGTAGATGTCTCAAGGATGGCATGAATAGTTTAGGGATCTTCTAAATGTACTGCTCAAATCCTTGCGATATTATTGACCTATATGGGCAGAAACTAGTCTCTCAATAACGGAATTAATATCTACC